CGCTGGAAGCAGCTGCCTGGATCGCTGTGCAACAATGCGGAACCGGTTCGCAGCAGCGCAAGTCTGCCGGGTCTCCCTCGCGCTGATCTGCCTGTACCGGCTCTCCCTCACGCTGATCTGCGGCTCTCCCTCGCGCTGATCTGCGGCTCTCCCTCGCGCTGATCTGCGGCTCTCCCTCGCGCTGATCTGCCGGCTCTCCCTCGCGCTGATCTGCGGCTCTCCCTCGCGCTGATCTGCGGCTCTCCCTCGCGCTGATCTGACTTGCTCTGGTCTGCGCGCAACGGCGGGCGGGAAGGGGGGGCGCTTTTGGAAGAGTTGTGCGACACAACGAATCGATGACGCAATTCGTTGCCAACGCTTTTAGTAATCGATTTTCATCGAATTTATCGATTCGTTGTTGCAGCCCTACCTGAGTCCAAGCCATTCCTGCATATGGAGAGCATAAAGCTGCACACAGTGTCATTCGGGGTCATTTGCAGTCAATATGAGTAGCAGAGCATGAAGCTACTTTCCTGGTTGTTGGGAGGTGAGCGGAGGTCGATGGGGGTGCATAGTTCCTTGTTTTCCATGTCTTTTGATGTTCCCAGGCTTGTTGTCTTTGTCCCCTGTAAATCAAGTTCCATCAGTACTTTACAATTCACCAGGGGTGCTCAGCAGGGGGCAGTAAAGATGGCCCCAGCCCCCTGGGCTTGTCCAGTTTGTTTTGTGATCACCTTCATGAATCCCCATGTTTAACAACTGTTGCTGTTCCAAAAACACAGGTTGAACAGGGCAGAGCATTTGCTCCAAAATTTTCCCTCAATTTACAACACCATATGCTGTGGGAGTTCTTTCTTAAGCTAAATTGATGTCTGGTTAGCATGAAAGAAGTCAGTAAGGTTTGTCATAATTCATTACAAACAGAAATAACCCCTTATTTGTTGACAAAACTCATTTGTTAGGAAAGTCCCAAAGTTGTGAATGATCTAAACACCAAGCTAGAGAAACCTTACAGGCAAATAAAATCACTAGTCAGGACATCATGCATGTGTCTCTAAAGCCTGGTTTATGCTTCTCCGTCAGCTCCGCAAGGGACAGACACGCACGGATAGACGGAAGCGTTTTGCTCTTTTACTTCTCCGTCTCCTGGGGAGTGTTGCAAAGCAATTGCCCGGCAGGACAACAGAGGGCGTAGCGCTGTTCTGTGGTATTCTGTCATGTGTCGGTCCAAGATAGTGTGTTTATATTGTGTTTTTTGTGTATATAAGAGACTTTTAACACAGACATATTTGTCTCTCATTCTCCCACTGCTTCATGCGCTCCCCACCTCTAAACCCACGTTTCCTGTCATTTCCGTCCACAAATAAAATGCTTGCTGCGTATCTTTTCACTCCTCCAGTCACGGGAGAATTAAACGTTCATATTTTCAGAGTTTTTTTGCGAGGTATTCTTCAAGCTGCTCCGTGTCTGTCGCTAGTTATCCTCGGCTCTCTTTGCAATGGCGGCGCTGTAAACAACAGCGGCATCCTGACCAATCACAAGCTTGCGTAATCCGTCTCGTTCGACGGATGTTTAAAAAAGTGGGCTTGACTCCGTACGTACTTGCGTACCTGCCGGAGCCCTACGCAAGGACGGATAATGGCGTTGCGTGTCTCCGCACTGACGCAGACGGAGAAGCATAAATCAGGCTTAACTGCTTAAGGATAAGGTGTGACTTAAGGTAAGACAAAAGCCTATCTATGTAGAAGCATACAAAGAGATAAGTTCACACACCCATAAATTCCTCACAGACACTTAAATGATAGCAGAGCCTTCAGGCCGTCATAAACAACACTGGTTTGACCTTTGGCCTTTTCCCAGGAACTGCTCAATCAATCAATCAATCAATCAATCAATCAAAGCTTTATTTATAAAGCGCCTTCCGCAACCTTGTCAGGAAGCCCAAGGCGCTGAACATGGTACAGTGCAAAGTTAAATAAAGTGAATAAATCAGAAAATAAAAGCAATTCAAATTACAGATTACAAATTACAAAAAAGGTGAAACATTCTAGTAGAAGACAAATGTGTAAAACAAGGGAAAAAGTGAACCAATGAAAACTGTGAGATAAAATCAACATAATAGAGGGCCAAATTCAAACATGTTCAGGAAACGCCAAGCGGAGGAGGTGGGTTTTTAGGCGACTCTTGAAGACTGGCAGAGATGGGGACAGCCTAACTGAGGGTGGCAACTGGTTCCATAGTGACGGTGCTAGTACTGAGAAAGCCCGGTCCCCGTGAGTACGACACCTAGAACGAGGGACAACGAGCAGGCCTTGGTCAGAGGAGCGCAGAGCGCGTGATGGGGAATGTCTGTTCAGGAGCGTGGCTAGATAGGGGGGAGCACCACCCTGGAAGAAATTAAAAACAAAGACGAGGAGTCTGAAGTGTGAACGATAGCAAACCGGAAGCCAGTGCAGGGAGGCCAGAACCCGACTGATGTGGTCCCGTTTCCTGGTCCCAGTCAGGAACCTGGCTGCGCTGTTCTGCACAACCTGTAGGCGACACAGTGATGACTGACACAACCCTGCATATAGAGAGCTGCAGTAATCAAGCCTAGAAATTACAAAAGCATGGAGTACCCGCTCCAGGTGGGCTCTTGACAGCATGGGCTTGATTTTTGCAAGGCGTCTTGGGTGAAAGAAACTGGACTGGATCACAGAGTTGATGTGAGCATCAAATTTAAGTCCAGCATCAATTTTCACCCCCAAACTGGTCACAACTGGTTTTGAGTAGGGAGAAAGAGGCCCAAGATCAACATGACAATCCACATTCCTGCTATTGGGGTGAAAAACAATGAGCTCTGTCTTTCCCTCATTCAGATGCAGAACGTTGAACATTAGCCAAGACTTCACCTCGTTAACACAAGACACAAAGGACTGGATAGAGTGACCTTTCTCCTGACACAATGGAGAGTAAATCTGGCAATCGTCAGCATACAGATGGAATGATAGGCCATGTTTACGAAAGATTGACCCCAGAGGTAGCAGATAAATGGCAATCAAAAAAGGACCAAGGATCGATCCCTGCGGGACCCCCCAGCGGTGCCCCTCCCAAGATGAAAAAACATCACCCAGTTTAACGCAGAATGTCCTGTTGTGGAGATATGATCTAAACCAGTCCAGAGCAGACCCTAGGTGGTTCATCCATCCAAGTTTTTTAAGGTCGGTTTATCCTCATTCCTCAGCGGTTTCTCCTCCTGTTCCCTCCATAAGTGGTTTTTAGAAACACCGTGGATCTAACCCTGCTAATTTAATTTTTAAGCGCCTCGTGATTTTTCTCTTGAGAGGCGCTATAGAAATGAAATTTTCTTCTTTTCTTCTTCTTCTTCCGCCCTCTTCAAGGGCGGAAATCCCATTTCAATTTTGGGGGGGACAATAAACAGTAAAACTTCAGAGAGTAATTTTTGGGGGGGATATGAAAAAAAATGCTCTCTACATAGACCCTTTTACTGTTTGTAAACAATATGACGTCAGCGAGAATGCACGCCCAGCTTGGCAACAGAGAATGGCATTGTTTCAGGCTTTATCAAGCTACGCTGCGGGGTTATCACAGGCAAATCTTGAATGTTATATTATTAAACTCACTTTAACGAATGGCAACAGACTCCCGGATCCCTGTGGCATTACGGAATGGGTGGAATATGTAGGTGCGTGGCCAGATATCCAGTGGCCCGATATATATACGTTTTTAGTGGAGAGGCCCAGTAAGTACACACGTGAGAAGCTACGGGCATACAAATCATTAGCAGCATACAACTATGTTGTCTGTGGCCACGTACAGAAAGTAAAATATCACAACATAGACTCTGAGTTTTGCGTCTTGAAGGCAGAAGTCCTTCCTAGCCAAAGACAAGGACACAAGACTACTATGTACGAGGCTTGGGTCATAGTAAACAAACCAGAGAACTACGTCTTCACAGTCAACTGTACCTGCATGGCAGGGTGAGTATAGCATAGGTTTCTTTTTTTAGCGTGCTCAGAGTACAATCGTGTTAATTTTAGAGAAATACAGTTTATACTAATATGCAATGGGAAAATACAGATGAATTAGAATGAAATGTTAATTTGAAGCATGAAATAAAGCGTATACATTTGTTTAATTCTGTCATTTTGATGTTCCAGACTTGGGTCATGCTGCAGCCACGCAGCAGCAATTTTATTCAAAGTTGAGCTTTGTGTTAGTAAATAAATAGACTGCTTAAAAGCAAACCAGCAAACACAACTTACTTTATTTAATAGAACACATGTAAACCAGCTTTCTGGTGTAATCTTAGTACATAATTACCTTACCTGATATAAAATGGGCGCTACAAACTCGAGCATTTCGGATCGTGTTTTCAGTCCAGTTTTCATGAACCCTTCATGAACCCTTTTGATGCAGAGCCGGCAGCCCCGCCCGTTGGAAACAGCGTGTGTGGACCGACCGTACCAACTTGAGGAATTGGGGGTGGGTAGGGGTGGGTGGACTGTAATTTCTCAACAATTAAAAACACATTGTTTTGCATTTGCAGACTAACTTTTACATTGTGGTTTTAGAAGACAATACAGGTGTACTGATAGCATTTATGTGTTTACAATAACTTTTGTGGGGGGGACAACTTTTTGTGTGTGTGTGTGTGTGTGGGGGGGGGGGGGGGGATCTCTGCCTATGGCCCTCTTGGTCCGCCAGGCAACACCTCCTTGTGACGCATTTTTCCAAATGCAATTGTGGGTGGAGTGTGACATATTAGTCCCCTTTTAAGCACCTGTAAGAACCCTGTGTGCATCAGAAGTGTACTCCTCAATATATGTTGACAACAGATTTCATGTCTATTCATATAATAGGAAATTACATTATTTTATATTAGTTTAATTTATGTTTATGTTTATGTATTTAGCAGACGCTTCTGTCCAAAGCGACTTACAAGTGATTCAAATGTTTGATTGATCAGTTTATTCTGTGACAAAGCAAAAACATGCATGCAATGAGATGAAACAAAGACATTTCCCAAAAGTTACTAAATTTATTAAAACAAGTTCACAAAACAACAAATATGCAAATAATTAAAGTTTACTGGGGCTGATTGTTTTCATACATCAAAACACCAAGACTGGCATGAGATACTGTCAATGAAAAAGTAAACTATACACACAATGATTCCTATGGAATCCTTTGATAAATTTAAATAAAAAATAGCAAGAAGGTGTTTATGTCAGCAGTACGGTCCCTCTGCTTTAAAGTGTGTCCACATCTTTACACGATCATTAAAAGGTTCAACTGTGGTTGCGATTATCTTAGAGAAAACACATTGATCATATTTTAAAGGGAAAACATGAAAGAGTGACCCCCCAGGGGGATCTGTGGGAACGAGACCGAGGTGCTGCATGCACAATCCTAAATACACATCTTCAATGTAAACGGCTTTAACATGTCTGGAAGCCTCAATGAGCTTATTAGTGAGATCTAATGATAAAATGTAGCCAAGACCTAAAGCATAGGGAGGGTAGACTGACGGAGAGAAGAGCTCATGAGGTAGAAACCACTTAGAGGAGGGATTTCTTAACACTTGACCACCATGTGCCACTAGACCAGTCATGTAGTTTGTCTTGGGAGCATTTATGAGTAGTTGGACTAGATTGGGCACATGTAGAAACATATCTGAATCAATCTTCATGGCATAAGAGGCATTGGAGCAGTACAAGTTCAACCACTCCAGCATCACCATGGTTTTGATGGTCAGATTCTTGTAACAGTCCACAAAGTCACTCTGAATCAGGTCTTTGTGCTCCTTGCTTTCGTGCAGCAGCTGCTCATGGACTTGATTTGAATCATCTCCAGTTTGCATCCCCAGCAGGAAGAACAGCATAACCACTTTATCCAGAACCAGGCTCTCGGTTCCCCAGGTGCTGCGGACCACTTCACGGTGAGCTATGTTATGAGGCGCCACTGGAACCATTAGAACCACAAACGGCTTCCCCTGCTCACATTTCTGAGGCTCATTTATGGTAAAGTGGTACTCATAAGGATATTCAACTAAGTAGGGTCCAGGAGATATATAAGTACCTGGTGTTGGTCGGGCTGTTTGTGGTTGTAAAACCTGCTGAATCACTTCAGGAGAAACGGTTGTCTGCCGTTTGGTTTTTGGTTTCTGTGTTGATGAAATTCTCTCCACTTGAGGAAGTTCAGCTGAGATGATAGCTGCAGTTGAGTAGGGTGTGGTCACATTTCCAGTAGATATGGCCTCAACCTCAGATCTATTTGCGTTTCCTAATCCAATATATTGTTTTCTAAATAGGATAAACAGTTTAGTTGAATGATTTTGCATCCATTGTTTAGGATTCCAAGCTGGTGCCATCTCTTTTATACTGCTGTACTGCAGGAAAAGCACGACTCCCACACTAAGAACAATGAAAATACAGTGACGGTGTGACACCTGACGCCACTTCCCATTGGTCTGGTTTGTCATCTTTTTGTGGCTGAAAGATTAAACAATTACTTATGAGGAAAAATATGAGAACAATCTTATTTTCTATTATTTTGCTTTTGAATAATCATAATGCTCAGTCCGAGTAAATATGGAAAGTTCATTAACCAAAGGCTATGCAAAATTAATTTATATTTTAATGCACATTCCTTGTGTGGCTTTGAAGTTAAATTCAAATTAAGTTGAAGTTGTTTTAAAGACAGTAAAACTGAAGTCTTATAAAATACCATGCATACGTAAAATTGCGTTGAAAGACCTAAATGAAACACCACAATTAAAATATACATCATAAAATAAACCTTCCAACTACCTACATTTTTTACTGCCCACAATCAGAAAGTTAAAGAAGCATCTTAACAAAATGATTATTATTTTTCAGAAGGACAGAGAAACACGCTTACTTTTGATCTCATGCAGAAAATCCACGTTCCAACACGTTACTATCCGTCATATAGGAGTGTTCATGTCCGCCATCACTCCACAAAAAAAAAAAAAAAAAGATGATGTTGTTCCATCAGTTGCAGTGAGCTCTGAGTGTCACCTGTCTGGTGTAACAGGATGGATTAGAATATGCAAAACTAAGTATGTTTACTTAGAACAGCTCTCATCGCCTGATATGTGTGTGGCAGTATAAAACATGTCTCATGACAACCTGCTCCATTTCCTATGAAAGTTTCAATATTTACTATTTTATGGCTGAAAGGAAACACACACACACACACACACACACACACACACACACACACATATATATATATATATATATATATATATATATAATCTTCAGCTCACTGTTTTCACTCATGAGCAATAAAGCCTTAAGGTCTTTAAAAATATGCATGAAATATTTAACACAAAATTTAAGTTTTACGAAATAACTCAAGAAGTAAACTTTGCTCACTCACTTACCTCTGTGCTAAATCCCTGTTTAAGAAGTGTTTTTATTTCAGTTTGTAGCTAGAAAAGTATGAAAAATGTTGCTCTTCTTAAAGTAGACATCAAGAGGGATTCTCTCCTTGTTCTGACATGCTGGAGAAGCATATATTGAAAAGAATAATAGAAAAATTAGACAAACATTAAGTTATATCCTGCATATCCTGGTACCGACCGATGTTCTGTCTTCTCTCACAAACCTGAAAGATACACCTTTTATTTTTTTACTGTCTTGATTTATCCTTTCAACGCTTCACAGAAGTATTTTGAATATGAAAGTAGGTGTTTCCTACATTGACTGCTGCCATCAGGCTCAATCTCTTTAAAGAGCAAGTAACACCTAATTCAGCCTTTTTTTTTGTGCTAATAATCTGCATAGATTAGGCGTTCCTGGTCCTGAAGGGCTGGTAACCAGCACATTTTAATGGGTTTTTTCTCTGCTCCAACATGCTTGATTCAAATTCAAAGATACTTTATTAATCCCAGAGGGATTAATCAGTATCACTGGTTGAATCAACTGCAACTCATCAGGCTCTGCAGAAACCTGTTTTCACCTGCTGATTGAAATCAGGTGTGATAAAGGATGGTTAAAAATAAAACATGTTATACTGGCGCTCCACGCCCAGGATTGGGCATAGATGAATGTCTAACAGTGCTGTAGATATGTGCAGTCATTATTTAGGCATTTTAGTGCATCTTATTTAAAATTTCAGCCTAAAACTAAGTATTTTTTCTTTTTTAGGTTAAAACTCTGCCTACATTGATTTTGAAGCAGCCACACCTGATGGCTAAGAGGTGCGAGGTGACGTCTGTTCAATATTACTTGGCTGCACTGCACTGGACTACAGCCGAGTCTCTGCAACACCTCCAGCTACTTGGCCACTCACGAGCCGATATGAAATGCTACGGCTCAGAGCCGCTCACCTTCTTAAAAAATCATCCTCCTCCTTTTCCTCTAGTGAAAAAGGTGGAGAGAAAACCTACCAGTCTGCTTCAGCTTCTCTGCTCATTCTACTGTGTGTGTGTGTGTGTGTGTGTGTGTGTGCGTGCGTGCGCGCGCTTTTTAATGAGTCATCTTTCTGACTGAGAAACTCCGAGAGCACGCAGGAGGGTTGAGGAGGGTGTTGTCAATTGCTCCCTCACTGCCACTCTCTTAGTTCGCCAGGCAGCACCTCCTTTAGGTGCATTTTTCCAGCAGGAATTAAGGGTGAAGTAAGACTCCACCCAAGTCCAGGGTGTGACTTAACTTTCAACATGTTTTCTTTACATAATAGGCCCAATCCCAATCTCGCACTAGCACCCTTGCGCCCTTCATTTGCGTTCATTTAATAATTTATACATGACAAGATGTAAATAATGAGATGTGGTGAGGTGGATGTGAGGTGTTGTGATGGAAGCTAGATGTTGTAACAACCGCTCTTTATATCTGAGAGAAATCTGGGTGCAAAAGAATTTGTTGTTTGTTATAAACTAGAGGGTTAGTTATTGATAATACCTCATCAGACACCAGTATGCAGGCTTACGATACCCTTGTATGATTTGCTCCCAGCGGTCCGGAGGTTTACGGTCAGAGTGGTGAGGTCACCGGACATCAAAACCACAATACTCAGAGATTAGTAGCTTCCTCTGAGTTCAGCTTCCCCGGCCATGAGATGCAACCCGGGGTCTGCAGAATAGGTGTCCAAGGTGGATGTCTGAGAGCTGAAGTAGCTCTGAAAAGAGCTGTTGTGTCTGTAATCACTTGCAGCGTTGCAGAAAGGTTTTGACTTAAGGTCAAAGGAGTTTGTTTCAAAAGAGGCTTCTTTCCCAAATCTGGGCTCAGCTGGAAACTGAATTACTCAGGAATTAAATCCTGTTTTAATAAACTCATTACAGGTGCTGGCCAGTAAATTAGAATACCATCAAAAGGTTGAAAATATTTCAGTAATTCCATTCAAAACGTGAAACTTGTACATTATATTCATGCAATGCACACAGACCAATGTATTTCCAATGTTCATTACATTTAAATTTGATATTCATAAGTGACAACTAATGAAAACTCCAAATTTGGTATCTCAAAAAATTAGAATATTCTGAAAAGGCTGAATATAGAAGACACCTGCTGCCACTCTAATCAGCTGATTTACTCAAAACACCTGCAAAGGCCTTTAAAAGGTCCCTCAGTCTTGTTTTGAAGGCACCACAATCATGGGGAAGACTTCTGACTTAACAGCTGTCCAAAAGACAATCATTGACACCTTGCACAAGGAGGGCAAGACACAAAAGGTGATTGCTAAAGAAGCTGGCTGTTCGCAGAGCTCTGTGTCCAAGCACATTAACAGACAGGCGAAGGGACGGAAAAAATGTGGTAGAAAAAAGTGTACAAGCTCTAGGGATAACCGCACCCTGCAGAGAATTGTGACGACAAACCCATTCAAAAATGTGGGGGAGATCCACAAAGAGTGGACTGCAGCTGGAGTCAGCGCTTCAAGAACCACCACGAGGAGACTCATGAAAGACATGGGATTCAGGTGTCGCATTCCGTGTGTCAAGCCACTCTTGAACAAGAAACAGCGCAAGAAGCGTCTCGCCTGGGCCAAGGACAAAAAGGACTGGACTGATGCTGAGTGGTCCAAAGTTATGTTTTCTGATGAAAGCAAGTTCTGCATTTCCTTTGGAAATCAAGGACCCAGAGTCTGGAGGAAGAGCGGAGAAGCACAGAATCCACGTTGCATGAGGTCCAGTGTAAAGTTTCCACCGTCAGTGATGGTGTGGGGTGCCATGTCATCTGCCGGTGTTGGCCCACTCTGTTTCCTGAGGTCCAGGGTCAATGCAGCCGTCTACCAGGAAGTTTTAGAGCACTTCATGCTTCCTGCTGCTGACCAACTTTATGGGGATGCAGACTTCACCTTTCAACAGGACTTGGCACCTGCACACAGTGCCAAAACCACCAGCACCTGGTTCAAGGACCATGGTATCCCTGTCCTTGATTGGCCAGCAAACTCGCCTGACCTTAACCCCATAGAAAATCTATGGGGTATTGTGAAGCGGAGGATGCAATACGCTAGACCCAACAATGCAGAGGAGCTGAAGACGACTATCAGAGCAACCTGGGCTCTCATAACACCTGAGCAGTGCCACAGACTGATCGAGTCCATGCCACGCCGCATTACTGCAGTTATTGAGGCAAAAGGAGCCCCGACTAAGTATTGAGTGCTATACATGCACATTCTTTTCATGTTCATTCTTTTCAGTTGGCCAACATTAGAGAAACAAACATTTTTTCATTGGCCTTTAGAATATTCTAATTTTCTGAGATACCAGATTTAATGTTTTCATTGGTTGTCACCTATAAATATCAAAATTAAACGTAATAAACATCGGAAATACATTGGTCTGTGTGCATTGCATGAATATAATGTACAAGTTTCACGTTTTGAATGGAATTACTGAAATATTTTCAACCTTTTGATGATATTCTAATTTACTGGCCAGCACCTGTATTTATAATTTCTGGCATATTCTGGCAAATCAGAATGTGCCATGTCAGGAAGGCTTTACCAAAACATCCCTCAGAAAGCCATGCCTTCTTGCAGATTCAAAGATGTTTTTAACCTTAATCTGTATCTTATTGTAATGTGTATGAGTGTAAACAATGATTAACTTGTTAAATCAAAAACATACTGATTAGTTATATAAAGGGATCATTGTACGAACAATATTCATTTCAAATTCATTGATTTAAGCAGATTATTCAAACATTTGATTTAAACATCTTGTTCCTTCATCAGATCACACTCCATACTGTACATTAATGCCACTGTTTTGCACATACCAACCACTGTATATTTTATGTCTCTTATTTTATTGTTTACTTTATTCATTTGTAAAACATGTATATACACACACAAACACACTCACACGCACACACGTAGAACAATATATTTAAAAAAATACTTGCATAAACATTTAGTAATGTATATACATTACAACTTATACATATTATTACTTAGATTAGCCATTTTTATATTTTGCTTGTTTTTACATTACTGTATTTTTGCACAACTCTGTTGCTGTGATGCTCGCACACAAGAATTTCACTCGCATGTACTGTACCAGTGTACCTGCACATGTGACGTGACAATAAAAGTGATTTGATTTGATCTGATTTTGATTTGATATGATTATTTAACTTATAACTGTAAAATCATGGAGTCTTCACTTATTCAGAGTAGGACCTTGGGAGAGTGTCTATTTGAATGTTTTGTCTTCATGGAATGTCAACACGTGCTGAGCAGAACCTTCTGGATTTAGAAGGCCACATAGAAAGTGGATTTATGCTGGAGATGAAAGGTCACTATGTTGGTCAATGTAGATGGTGAAAGACTGACCCTTTTGGATGTTACACAGCTGTGACTGATATCAGTAACCTGACACATTTTCATAGCAATCATGACCTGAAAAAAAAGAAAAACATTGTAAAAGGTGTAAGAATTACATCACGACACAATCACACAGACTTAGATGAGTTTTTTTTTACTAGTTTAGTAGTTAAAAAATGTTTGGTCTTAGCTAAATATTCATTTATTTTTTAATTTAGCAGTAATTGTGATTATTTTTTGCCTCCATTGCAACTTTGCCAGCTTTATAACCATCAGGAACCTCAGAGATTTCACCAAATTTCAAAAATGAAACAAGCAAAAATAAATCCTAGTAGATGTGAATTTCAGACTTTGAACATCTTTGAAATTAGATTTATATTTTTTAGATTTCTGATTAACTAAAGGTGAAAATCCAGTCACTGCAAGCTTGAACCATAATAAGAATTAATTCCAGTGCACCTAGTTTATGGTCTAAATATAAGAGCATCAACAACTACCTCCTTATGCTGCTGTAGGCAATATGTTGTTTTACTCATAGCCCTTGTATATTTATTTAACATAAAACAGGTTGCCTAATACGCGTGGATGACCTGTTGTCACTGTGTGATGATGAGGTCTGAATTTTGAGCAGCAGGTTTTCGACAGAACAAAGATCTAAATTTGGTAATGCATCACAGAAAACCAGTTCTCAGTTTAAAATACAGATTGAGAGAAAACCAGAACAGAGTTGCCAACCTCAGTTGCATCCATCCTACTGACAATCCTTGGACTTACTATGTTTAGCCACTCTCTCTTGTGAGACTTGCTTTTGTC